GTTTTTAATTTTTTTTTTTTTTTTTTTTTCATCGCGCGTATACGATTTTTAAATACAAATAAAACACACTCGGGCAAGATTTATTACAATTATTATTGCAATAATAATAATTAATAACACTTAATTTTTTACAAACACATCGCGTAGGCGTGCATATATATATAATTTTGTATGTACGGGGAAACGAGCAACAAAGAACTGAACATTAGTACGACGAAAAACTGGGAAATCGGATCGAGACGAGTGTAATTGTTACACGTCATATTGATACACGGAGACACGATATTATGATAACACGCGTTGGCTATATATAAAAAAAAAAAAAAAAAATGGACAAACGTGTAAAAAAAAAAAAAAAACACATTTTTGTAATAATAATTAATAATAATAAAGTTAAAAAAAAAAAAAAAACAGCGTAAATCCCCGAGACCTGTCGAACCGAGACCTGTCGTCCACGTCGTTGTCATCACAGTTGGCTGCCGTCGTCGTCGTCGTCGTCGTTACCGCCGTTACCGTTCACGCGGTATCCGGTCGTGACGGCGGCGCGCGCGTAGAGGAAGAGCTTCGCACTACTGCACCTTGTCCTTCATGCCGTGTATCAGGTGCTCGGACATGATGGACGACGGGCTGGGCTGGTGCGAGTAGTTGCGTATGTGATTCAACGAGATCAGTTGGTTGTGAAAACTGTTCGGCACCGAGCCGACCGACGGGCCTTTCATGTCCATGGGACCGGTCATCGGGGACAACTGGTGCGCGCTGTGGGCGCTCAACTGCTTGGCGCCCGTGAACGGCAAATGGTTGTAGGGCAGGTACATCGGCGGCGGGTTGTGTTGCTGGTGGTGCTGTTGGTGGTGGTGATGCGACGGCGGCGGCGGCGGGTGCGAAGGCAGCCCGAACGATTGGATGGGCGTGAACGCCGACGTGCTGGTCTTGGGCACGGACGAGGCGTCCGACAGGTATTCGGACGGGGCGGACGGCAGATGACCGCCGCCGCCGCCGTGCCTGGACGCCTGTTCGTCGGCGGCCGTCACGGCCGCGGCCGATCCAGTGCTGGACGGTCCTCCGGCGTTCAAGTCACCGCGCGACGACTGCATGGCGTCCGAACCGGCAGCGCCTCCGCCGTTGGAACCGCCGCCCATGCACTCTTGCTGTTGCTGCTGCTGTTGCTGCTGGTTGATGGCTTCCACCAGGTTGTTGGCCGTGTCCGGCGACATCTTGCCCCAGTACGCGCCGTTCTCCAGGGCCACGCGCGGTATGCCGATGATCGGCGGCCGCTTGTCCATTCGCTCCGCGTGCTTCTGCATGTGCTTGGACAGGTACGTCTCTTGCGTGTACGACTTGCCGCAGTACTGGCAAATGTGTGTCTTGAGGTGTTTGGACTCCTTGTGCTTGGGTATGTGTTCGAGCAGCGACGCCTCGTCCTGGAAGCATTTGTAGCACGAGTTGCACTTGAACGGCTTGTCCGTCTGATGGCACCGGGAGTGCGACTGCAGATTGCTGAGCTGCGAGAACGCCTTGGTGCAGCCCGGGTGCCGGCACTTGTACGGCTTGTCGCCCGTGTGGGTGCGGATGTGCTGCTGCAGGTGGCTGAGCTGCGTGAACCTCCGCTGGCAGATGTCGCACCGGTACGGTTTGATGCCCAGGTGGATGCGCGTGTGCTGGCTCAGGTACGAGCTGTTGGCGAACGTTTTGTTGCACTGGTGGCATTTGTACGGTTTCACGTCTTTGACGTGCAGCTGCGAGTGCAATTGCAGTTCCGACTTGGACGCGAATATCTGTAATGGGCAAACAGAAAAGAAAAACAAACGTTAATATCACATATTTTCATCGTACGCGTTTCGTTTGTATCATGCGCGTAGTGCACGCGGCTCGCGAAACGTAAATAAAATCATAATCGTCCGCGCAGTGTACCAGCCGGTCACGGTACCGCCGGTAGAACCGTACGAGCGTGCAATACGAACGTTCGGAACAACCTTACAACGCACGCGTTTTTAACGGGCACTGATTTCTAACCGTTCGGGTCCGAACGATCGGATTTCTACTGACAACCGACCGACAAGGAGAACGTGACGCGCAGAGTCGCTAATCAAGCGTGGAGTTCGCGGTCATCACACGATAATGTTATCGCGGCGAACCATTGTTCGCGCCCGGCGTTAATATCGTCATACGCCCATCATGGACTCGCGGTCTGGACGGAACGTACGGCGCGGAAACGCGCGTTCCGACGCGGGCGGAGTTTCGTTTCGGGGACGGAAACGCGCGGGACGGTGAATGGACCGTTTCGATTGGCCAGGTCCTCGGAGCGCGAATTCGCTCTCGCTCTCTCTCTCTCTCTCTCTCTCTCTCTCGCATCACACGTATGTAGGCTTTACAGATCCGTGTCCGTGTCTGCGTCGATCCGTTCGGACCGACCGCGCCTCCCGGTCCTCGGGGCGAACGTCCGGCCGAAAAGGGACGCGCGGACAACACATTTCGATATCCCGTCGTTACGATGCCGCGGCGACGGAACAATACCGTCCGCACGCGTTTTCGTAATAATAATGATAATTATTGTCCGTTATACGTCGTATTATTATCGTTCGCGGTCCCCCTCCCCTGACCTAATCCCCACCCCTCCGCGACGGCGACTCCGCGGACCGGGCGCAATACGTAACGAGTTGACGTCGGGCAACCGTCCAGAAAAACCGCCTGGCTCGCGTCGAAAATAAATATAGGTGCACCCGGTATAAATATGGGCGCGCGATAGATTTTTCACAGCTAAGGTCAAGGCGTCCGACGGATATAGACTGCCGGCGTCGAATATTGTGCGCGCGTAAGAAATTATGCGCGTATGGGCACGCGGACGGCCGGAGATCAGTTCGGTCGGACGAGGTCTTTTGGACGCGTACCAGAATTAGCTCGCGGCCGCCGCCGCCGACGTCGGGGCTCTGCCGCGCGCGTTCATGCGCGCGGCGTGACGGCGGACGCGATAATCGCAGCGCGTTTGATAAAACGGTGTCGAGTGGGGGAAAAAAAAACGACAACGTTTGTTCGCTATTTTTTTTTTTTTTTTTAACGCGGGTTTTACATCAGGGAAATCCGATTGCGGGACGCGGCCGTGGCCGGCGGTTTTCGTGCGAAATCCGGACGATTTCGCGCCGCGTCTACACCGCGGGTACCGCTGCAGTTTGAACAGACGTTAGGACCGTACGTTATCGAGTCCTATCGAAAAGATTTTGTGACTCGAGCCGTTTCGCGCGCAAACACCGTCCGCATAACACTACAATAATACACTAACGCAATATTTCACACGCGACGATCGGTGACGTAAAACGATTCCGAGCGTGTTGTCGACGGAAATTATACCGCGATTCGCCGGCAGTTTTCCCCGTTTGTTGAGAAAACTGATCGAGTAAAAACGCACCGACCGAAAATATACTCCGAAAAACTCTGTAGTCAGTCGATCGGATTTCCGCTGAAAAAAAGTGGTTTACGGTCACGGAAACGTGTCGCCGCATAGCGAAACCGATTAGAATCGATGCACGCGAAAAAATCCGTATTCGATCGCGTCGCGTCGGACGGCGACGGGAAATCGCCAGTTTCGATATTCACCCACGCCCTCCCCCACCCCCGCAAACCCTTGAAGTACAGGGCGTCGGTCGACTGTCGCATGTCTGCGGTTGCGGCGAAAACGCTCAACGGCATACGATACGCGGGGCGTATGTACAGCGTGCTTCTGTGCACATGACAATACGGTATATAGGCGGCGCGCACGTTGCACCCGCGGGGCTTCGCTTTCGGCGGACATCCGTTTAGCGGCTACCACGTCCCGTTAAAAGCGCCCTTCGTGTGCGGACTTTTAGCCGCGCCGCGAAAGTATTTCGAATACGGAGTGAAATATTTTATTATTTTTTTTTTTTTATTAGTCTCGCCGCCGACACGACACTCCGATTCCGGGTCAGATCGTGACCCACTACCGGCGGGGCGGGCGGCCGCGCCGGCGCGCGCGCGCACACGATCGCGAGTCCAAGGACGCGGGGCGAACGAAACGGCAAAAAAAAAAAAAAAAAACAAAAAATGATAATAAAACAAAACGTTGCGCGAAACAGCGCGCGCGGGCGGTTAGACGGTGAAAAACCGCGGCGCCGCGCGTGCAGTCGGGAGGAGGACGCGACCGCGACCTTGGCCGGGGCGCCGAATCCGAGGTCGGCGACGCGGCGAAAATCCGCCGCCGGGAAAATCTCGCCGCGGTTACCGGCGAAAAACCCCCCGGAAACCGTCGGGTCGGGAGGATCGGAGGGATAACGTCGCGGCCGGTCGCTCGGACCGCGCGTACCGCCGGCAAACGCCGCGGCCGGCCCGAGCCCGACGCGATAACGTCTCCGCCCGTTTTTTCGGGTTTTTTTTTTATTTTCGTCTCTCTCCCTCTCTCTCTCTCTCTCTCTCTCCTCTCTCCCGTTTCCGAGGGGGATCCGGAGCGACGGGCTCGCGCGGACCGGTTTTCGTACCGAACGTACGTAACAAGACGCACACGCCGCACGTGTAGGTGGTGCCCGGCCACGCGTACGCGATACGTTACCGGTACACGCTGCGTATACAGCGTGCACGCTTGCCGTACGGGGGGCGGTTGGGGCAGGGGGGGTGGTGGTGGTGGTGGTGTTCTCCGCCGCCGCTGTACAATATTATTACCGCGCGCGACGTTTCAGTGCCCGGCCGATTGCGCCGCGGATATTCTTCTTCTGTTTTCTCTCGTCCGTTTAAGGCGCGTGCACACCGGGGCGGCGTGGCGCTTTTTTCGCGGTGCGTCCGTTGTACGGCGCGATGCGCGTCGCGACGAGAACGCGAACGTCCCCTCCCGGCCGATGCGAGCGATTGACGAGGATTTACGACTGATGCGCCCGCCGCGGCCCTG